TATGTGGAGTGCCTCAGGGGTCGGTCCTCTCGCCCCTCCTGTTCAACATTTATGTGAAGCCGCTGGGCGAGATCATCCATGGCTTCGGGGTGAGATACCATCAGTACGCTGATGACACTCAGCTGTACATCTCCACCCCAGGCCACCCCAACGATGCCCTTGAAGTGATGTCCCAGTGCCTGGAGGCTGTACGGATCTGGATGGGGAGGAACAGGCTCAAGCTCAACCCTTCCAAGACTGAGTGGCTGTGGTTCCCGGCATCCCGATATAGTCAGTTGACTCCATCACTGACTATTGGGGGCGAGTCTTTGGCCCCCACAGAGAGGGCTCGCAATCTGGGAGTCCTCCTGGATATGCAGCTCTCCTTGGAGGAACATCTGACGGCTGTAACCAGGGGGACCTTTTATCAGGTTCGCCTGATTCGCCAGTTGCGGCCCTTTCTTGATCGGGATTCTCTGTGCACAGTCACTCATGCCCTCGTAACCTCTCGCCTTGATTACTGCAACGCTCTCTACATGGGGCTCCCCTTGAAGAGCACCCGGAGGCTCCAACTGGTCCAGAACGCAGCAGCGCGGGTAGTGACGGGAGCAGCGTGGCGCTCCCATGTAACACCGCTCCTGCGTGAACTGCACTGGCTCCCGGTGGTCTTCCGGGTGCGCTTCAAGGTGTTGGTTATCACCTTTAAAGCGCTCCATGGCATAGGGCCTAGCTATCTTCGAGACCGCCTACTGCCACCGACGACCTCCCATCGACCTGTGCGCTCCCACAGAGAGGGCCTCCTCGGGGTGCCATCAGCCAAACAATGCAGGCTGGTGACCCCCAGGGGGAGGGCCTTCTCTGTGGGGGCACCCACCCTCTGGAATCAGTTGCCCCCAGAGATAAGGAGAATCCATGACCTCAGTGCCTTCCGCCGAGCCCTTAAAACCTTCTTTTTCCAACAAGCCGGGCTGGCCTAATTCTTTTTAAGTGTTTTTAATTGTTTTGTTTATCGTTTTAATTAATGGGGCCAAATCTATATATATATTTTTAACTGTATTTTAATATTTGTAATTGATGTTTTTATTTGGCTGTTCACCGCCCTGAGTCCTCAGGGAGAAGGGCGGTATACAAATTCAAAATAAAAATAAAATAAAAGAAGTTAATGAATCCAACTGAATCAGTTATCTGTGTGTGCTTCTGGATTTGATTTTTTCAAGAAGCTATGATAGAAAATATATTAATAAAATGGAAAAATACAAATAGGGAAAATAGTATATATATTAACAGATAATACAACTTATTATAACTAAAAATAAGTTAAATTTAGTAGATGGAAATTTAAGATTAGGTAATCTAATTGTATTATCAACATTAATAGTGTGTTAAAAGTATATTGTGAATTTAAAATATTAAGGATTAGAAATTGTGGGGATTTTGAGATACACTCCCGGGATTGATTAAATAGTGTTAATATTTGGCTTTATTAGTAATCCTACATATTTGGAATATTGAAGTTATGGTGGAATAATGAGTAATTTTTAAAATACTAAATATTAGTAATTTAGTAAGGGATAACAAGAACATGGCGCAAAGAAATGTTATCTATGTTTAAATGAATTAATGGTGGAAATAATAAAGAATTACAAAGAGAGATAGTATTGTTGAAGTTGGAAGATTAGGATTACCCATACTTATTTGTATTATTATTGTTAGCATTGTTTAAAAAAGATTTGACCCAGTCATCAATTGGAAGAGTAATTCTGCACCAAGTGAGAAATCGAATAGGTTCCTAAGCAACCTAGCTGACAACTTTGTTGTCCAAAAAGTAGAGGAGAGAACTAGAGGGACAGCCATACTGGATTTAATTCTTACAAACAGAGAGAGGGAGTTGAAACTGCAGGAATCTTGGCTGAGAGCAGGAGTGAAATGCTCCCAGTTCGGACCAGATCGCACGATCCGGTAGCGATGGGTGGATCGGAGAATCGGTAGCAAAAATCCCTGCGCCCCCCGCCCCCATGCCCAGCTGAGCTGCGCAATCATCAGAGGCTTTTTAAATTATTTTTAAAAGCATTTTTTCTACAACCTCTTTGGCCGAAGTTGTAGAAAAAATGTTTTTAAAAGAAAAAAAAAGCCTCTGACGATCAGGCAACTCAGCTGGGATCGTCAGAGGCTTTTAAAAGCATTTTTTTATTATTATTATATTATTATTATATTTAAATTTGTATACCGCCCTTCTCCCGAAGGACTCAGGGCGGTGCACAGCCAGATTAAAATACAATTAAAATACAATACAAGATTTAAAATAATTTAAAACAGAATTAAATCCAATTGGCTTCCCGAAGTATTTAAAACCCATTACCCCTTAAAACCCTTTAAAAATTTCAAGCCAACCCAGCTTGCTGGAATAGGAAGGTCTTCAAAGCTCGACGGAAGGTCCGGAGGTCCGGGATTAGTCCTATTCCTGGGGGTAGCTCGTTCCAGAGGGCGGGTGCCCCCACAGAGAAGGCCCTCCCCCTGGGGGTCATCAGTCGGAATTGCTTGACCGACGGCACCCTAAGGAGGCCCTCTCTGTGGGACCGAACTGGCCGGTGGGAGGTTATCGGTGGCAGAAGGTGGTCTCACAAATAGCTGGGCCCTAAGCCATATTTTTGATACACACTGCTTAAAGAAAGATGGAATGTTTATATTCTTGAAATTGAAAAATTTTTTAAAATATATTTTAAAAAAAGACATCCAATACTAAGTTCTAAATTCTAAACTCAAAAGATTATTGTGGGATTAAAACAAGAGAGACTCCCACATATGCTTTTTTTTTTTTTGAAAAATTTTTCAGCTTTATTTCTTACACACATAACATAAAATGTACATTTTCTTATACATAATTAATCCTACATATACATATTTTCCTTAAAGAAAGCATTAAAATAAGGCATTTTAATTACATTCGGAGTTGCTCTTCTACCCTTTCTTCCCTCATTTTGCAACAACCCTTCTTCTCCTCCTCCTTTCCCTTCCCTCTCTCCTCTCCTTTTTCCTTCCTCCTCTCCTACCTCATCCTACTTCCCCTTCCTTTCCCCCACTCCTCTCTTCTTTTCCCACTTCTCACCTTCTCTTGTATTCCTGTCCCCTACCCCCACATATGCTATCTTGAGGTCTGTTGGATATTCATCCTACGGCTGGGTAGGTAATATATAGAAAAACTATGTTTGTGACTTTAAATGATATAAGAATGATTGGCTGTGCTATTATCAGGCAGCCATAAAAGTAGACAGGAAGCCCGGGAGCTGCTGCTCCTGCTATTTGATGATTGATCTCCTGAAGAGGGACTGTGTGTGACTGAAGAGAACTATAAGCAAACTATGTTTTGTGTTGGAGAGTGATTATTCGAAGACGTGTTATCATTGTTTTGAGAAACCAAGTTTGTTTTTTCACTAAGAGTAAAGAATGTTTTTTTTTTCACCGTTCAGAGTCTGTGAGTATCTGTGTGTTTAACCAGCAACGTATCTCTTTGCTGTCCGGTCTGTTGCCTACTATGCAGAGGGAAATTTTACCCTCAACAAGGTCTCAAGAGTAAAGTAAAATATAAATAATCTAGCAATAAACAAAGTATAGAGGTCGGCAGAGGTCGACCTTGAGGCCTCTCATCTGTGGAGTGTCGCAGGGATCGGTCCTCTCGCCCCTTCTGTTCAACATTTATGTAAAGCCGCTGGGCGAGATCATCCGTGGCTTCGGGGTGAGATACCACCAGTACGCTGATGACACCCAGCTGTACATCTCCACCCCAGGCCACCCCAATGATGCCCTTGAAGTGATGTACCAGTGCCTGGAGGCCGTGCGGATCTGGATGGGGAGGAACAGGTTGAGTGGCTGTGGCTCCCGGCATCCCGATATAGTCAGTTGACTCCATCACTGACTATTGGGGGCAAGTCTTTGGCCCCCACAGAAAGGGCTCGCAATCTGGGAATCCTCCTGGATATGCAGCTGTCCTTGGAGGAACATCTGACAGCTGTAACTAGGGGGACCTTTTGTCAGGTTCGCCTGATTCGCCAGTTGCGGCCCTTTCTTGATCGGGATTCCCTGTGCACAGTCACTCATGCCCTCGTCACCTCTCGCCTTGACTACTGCAACGCTCTCTACATGGGGCTCCCCTTGAAGAGCACCCGGAGGCTCCAACTGGTCCAGAATGCAGCAGCGCGGGTAGTGATGGGAGCAGCATGGCTCTCCCATGTAACACCGCTCCTGCACGAGCTGCACTGGCTCCCAGTGGTCTTTCGGGTGCGCTTCAAGGTGTTAGTTATCACCTTTAAAGCGCTCCATGGCATCGGGCCTAGCTATCTTCAAGACCGCCTGATGCTACTGACGACCTCCCATCGTCCCGTGCGCTCCCACAGAGAGGGCCTCCTCAGGGTGCCATCAGCCAATCAATATAGGCTGGTGACTCCCAGGGGGAGGGCCTTCTCTGTGGGGGCACCTACCCTCTGGAATCAGTTGCCCCCAGAGATAAGGAGAATCCAAGACCTTAGTGCCTTCCGCCGTGCCCTTAAAACCCACTTTTTCCAGCAAGCCGGGCTGGTTTAAGAAGAAATTTTAAATGTTTTAATTGGTTAAATTGGTTTAATTGGTTAAATGTTTTAATTTTTAATTTTGGGCCAAATTTATATATATTTTAATTGTTTTTAATATTTGTATTTCATGTTTTTTAATTCTGGCTGTACACCGCCCTGAGTCCTCAGGGAGAAGGGCGGTATATAAATTTAAAAATAAATAAATAAATAAATATTATTTTAGAATGAACAGCTGTTCTATTTCACAGAAGGTAAATTGGCAAGTTCCAAAATACATACATACATGCAGTACATACAAACATACATACCCATCAAATAGCACAGCAAGCATAATTTCTAATTATTTCCTAAGTCCTTTGCAATTTTATAATTGTATGAAAATCAACCAACCATTATTCTCTATTCTAGGGTTCTCTTAGCTTGCTTCTGGTGTATTTAAGAAACATTTCTACTCACCTGACAAAACTATCCAGCAAATCGACATTTTTTCGATCACTCACAAATTCCCCAATCATTTTCTTGTCCAGTTTAGGATTTTCTCTCAGCCATTTGGCCACTTGATTGTTATCCATTGGGGTAGCCAAGAGATTTTTCTCCTGAAGAAGCTGTATTCCTTTTTTTGGTTTTTGATTGAAGTGCTCTGAACCACTTATCAAGAGCTTTAAAAAGTCAAAATGAATGAATTAAGTTATACTTTATAGTGAGATTACTCTTATATCAAATCATATACTCTCTGTACAGTAATATAATTCAATATGTTCTTCCTTATTCTTTAGGTTTAGAGACCACTTTTAGACCTTATTCCACACAATTAAGTTTTATATTAGTAGAATTCAATACAGTCATTTTTTGCTTAGCAGCTACCTTGTTTAGCAACGATTTAAAATATAATGGTAATAAAAAAAAATTGACCAATGCCCACACTTACACCAAATTTCTACACTGTGTGCAAAATTATTAGGCAAGTTGTATTTTGGAGGATTAATGTTATTATTGAATAATTACAGTGCTCTCAGTCAATCCAAAATGTTAATAAACCTCAAACTTGAATATTTAAGAAAGTAAAAGTGAGATTTTGGCTTTCTTAGGAGAATATCTATGTGTGCACAATTATTGGACAACTATTAGTGTGCAGAATTATTATGCAACTAAATGAAAAATGAAAATTTGCCCATTTCACTTCTTTATTTGCATCTGTTAAATTGAGAATAATAAACAAACAACTCAAAATCAACAAATAAACATTTCCGACAGTTCACACAAAAAAATCAGTGACCAATGTGGCCATCCTTCTTTTCAGGAACAGTCATAAGACTTCCATTCATGGAGTCTGTCGGTTTCTTGATCTGTTGACGATCAACTTTTTGTGCAGCAGCAACCACAGCCTCCCAGACACTGTTCAGAGAAGGGCGAACTGTTTTCCTCCACTGTAAATCTCCCATTTAAGAAGGGCCCACAAGTTCTCAATAGGGTTTAGGTCAGGTGAGGAAGGGGGCCATGTCATTACTCTTTCATCTTTTAAGGCCTTTACTGGCTAGTCACGCAGTTGATACTTCGATGCATGCGATGCATTGTCCTGCATAAAAATCATAGTTTTCTTCAAAGATGCAGACTTTTTCCTATACCACTGCTTGAAGAGTGTCTTCTAAAAAACTGGCAGTAGGTTTGGGTGTTGATTTTGAGTCCATCTTCAACCGGAGAAGGTCCAAGTAGCTTATCTTTAATAATACCAGCCCATACCAGTACTCCATCTCCACCTTGCTGGCATCTTGAGTTGAAGTGGAGCTCTGTGCCCATTACTGATCCAGCCATAGGCCCATCCATCTGGTCTGACAAGAGTCACTCTCATCTCCTCAATCCATAAAACCTTTGAAAAATCTGTCTTCAGATATTTCTTGGCCCAGTCTTGCCATTTCAACTTATGTGTCCTGTTCAGTGGTGGTTGGGTTTCAGCCTTCATTGCCTTGGCCATGTCTCTGAGTACTGAACAGCTTGTACTTCTGGGCACTCCAGATAGGTTGCAGTTCTGGAATATGACAGCACTGGAGAATAATGGATTCCTGGTAGCTTCCCATTTGATTCTTCTCAAATCTTTGGCAACACATTTCTTGTGACCCTGTTGACTATTGGCAACAAAACATTTGATAGTTCTGTGGTCACACTCCAATATCTTAGCAATTTCAAGAGTGCTGCCTCCCTCTGAAGACTTTTTACAATTTTTGACTTTTCAGAATCAGTTAAATCTCTTTCTTGGCCCATTTTGCCTGAGGAAAAGAAGCTGCCTAATAATTATGTACACCTTGATATAGGATGTTGATCTCTTTGTATTTGTATTTGTATTTATTAAATTTCTATACCGCCCTTCTCCCGAAGGACTCAGGGCTGTGTACAGCCATATTAAAACAAACATATACTCACAAAATTTAAAAACAATTTAAAATAAATATATAAATTTGGGCCTTATGTTAAAAGCTACAAACACCCAATTTAAAATTCATTTTCTAAGCCAGCCTGGCCTGTTAGAACAAAAGAGTCTTAAGGGCACGGCGAAAGGTACGTAGGTCGGGGATCATGCGAACCTCCAGGGGCAGTTCATTCCAGAGGGCAGGTGCCCCCACAGAGAAAGCTCTCCCCCTGGGTGTCGCCAGTCGACATTGTTTGGCCGACGGCACCCTGAGGAGTCCCTCTCTGTGGGAGCGTATTGGCCGGTGGAAAGCTACTGGTGGCAGAAGGCGATCTTGTATATACTGTTGGATCTGTATCTTACAGTTGGGTAGACAATATATCAAAAATGTGTACTATGACTTTAACTACTGTAAAGTAACTAATTGAGTAATTGGTTGAAACGGAAATATAAGGAAGGCAGTAAGCTCAGCAGTACTCTTCACTCTTCCCCATTTTTTCTTTGCACGCTCACTTATGCTTTGTTGATACTGCTCACTCCTACTCGTGATGTTATTGCTGAGAGATATTGTGTCGGAGTTACGGAACTAGAAATGTAAGCAACAATGTTTTGTATTGAAAGCTTTATCTTTGTTTACGAGAAGCTTTGTTTGAACTATCACAGTAAAGACTATTCTTTTTACTAAAACGTTCAGAGTTTGGCAGTATCTGTGTTGCAACGCTGCCTGGTATACCGCTGTGCTCTGCAGAGGGCAATTTACCCTCAACACTGGTTATGGGCCTAGAAGCACAGTTTATTTACCAGTTACAGCATTAAGAAAGCTGCGACACACTGTAATTGCTCCAAACGTTCTGATACGTATTTAATATTCTGTTGATGATGGCACAAGGTCAAGTTCCCAATTTATCGTTGGTTACCCGGCTGGATGGCTCCAACTACAAATCCTGGTCCAATAAATGCAGTCTCCTGTTATGGAAGGAAGGGCTATGGGATGTAGTGCAGAATCCACCAGACGTTACCTCCTGGAATGCTGATAATGCCGAGGATGCCAGGAAGATAGCCGAGTTCCAGAGGAAGAATGAAAATGCAATGTGTATTATTGGTTTGTCTCTAGACGATACACAGCTTGTTCATATTGAAGGTGAACAGTCTGCTGCAAAATGTTGGGACAATTTGAAACGTCTTTATATTCGTGACAATGTAGGAGCACAAATTAACCTTATACGAAGATTGTTTCGTACAAAGCTACTTAAGGGTGGTGATATGTTAACACACATTAATTGCATAAAAACTATTTTTAGTGAGCTACATCAAAAAGAAGTGTTTTTTTCTGAGCAGCAGCAAGTTTGTGTACTGTTATCATCGCTAGATGAAAGTTACGATGACATAGTAACATTATTCGAGGTTCTCACACAACATGAACTAACTTTGGCACATGTAACTTCACGATTATTAGAAGAGGCCAGAAGGAGAGAAGAAAGAAAACAATTAAGAGAAGAACCTGAGTCAACTAATGTAAATGTAAAAGCAAATAATCATGTATATACTGTAAAACAATGTTTTAATTGTGGAAAGAAGGGTCATATAACAAAGTTTTGCAGAAAACAAAAAAAACAAACCATGGTTAAATGTAAGATAAAAGATAAACAACAATGTAACGTAACTATGTTTGGTAAGAAACCAATTAACCACGATTTGTGGATTATTGATAGCGGTGCGTCGTTATGTCTTGTCTGAACACCAAACTATTTTGTTAAAATGTTGCCTAGTACTAATAAGGTATCTTTAGCAAATGTCTGGAAGCTAAAGGCACGTGGTGAAGGAATGGCAATATGTCCATATGTAAAGGAACAAATCCATATGTTATATGTACCAAACCTAAACTTCAATTTAATTTCAGTTAGATTATTGGTTAAGCTAGGATATACAGTATTGTTTACACAAAATGATTGTTTAATTGAAAAAGGTAAAACCAAAATTGTTGGAAAACTGATTGATGGTTTATATGTACTATCTAGTAACCATGTTACAAATGTTGTATATTCTAATGTCAAACCGCATGATGAATGCATACATCTACTGCACAGACGAATGGGACATATCAGCTTTAAAATGTTACAGCAAACTGTTAAATTAGTTAATGGGTTGAAGCTGAAACCATGTAACCAGTATTTAAATTGCAATGTTTGTAATGAGCAGAAAAGTAGAACAATTCCTGCTAATAGGTTTGATGGGTTTAAAACCAAAAGATCACTGGAGGTGGTATTTGCTGACTTAATAGGACCAATGCAAGCTAGTTTAGGGGGTGCTTGTTATATTCTCAGTATAGTTGATCATTATTCTAGGTATGGTTTTTGCTATCTATTGAGAACAAAGGCAGAAACTTACCAATATTTTACTCAATGGATTAAATTTGTGGAAAGGAAAACAAACCACAAAATAGTTACCATTGTAACTGACAATGGTACTGAATTTGTCAATACAAAGTTTAAATCAATGTTAGAAAATGCTGGTATAAAGCATAAATGTTCGACCCCTTATCGGCCACAACGTAATTCTTATGTGGAGAGGAGAGGACAAACTCTACAAGCAATGATGAGATCTATGTTAGCTGATGCAGGTTTACCAGCTAATTTATGGGGAGAAGCCATTATGTGCGCAAATACAATTTTAAATAACATCATAAATACAACCACTAATAAAATTCCATATAGTGTATGGCATGGAAGAAAGCCAGATTTGAGCTATATTCACACATTTGGATCACCCGCATGGGTACATATTCCAACGCAATTAAGGCGTAAGGGCCAGAGTAAGGCACAACAATTAATATTTGTTGGTTATAATTCCAATCACAGATCCTACAGATTTTGGCAAAAAGGGACATCAAATATAGTTAGCAGTGCAAATGCCAAATTTATGGAACACGTAGGGTGGAATAAATTAAATACTGAAAATGAGTTAGTTATTGAAACCCAGATTGAAGCTAACAATAAAATGCCTGATACTCAGAGCGAAGAGGTGGAAAAAGACCTAGTACAGGAAGAAAGGCAATCTGTAAGTCCTGAACTCCCAAGAAGGTTGAATAGAGTGACGAGACCACCTGATAGATATCAAGCAACAACAGTCTATCAAGTAAATAGAGTCCCGACTACATATAATGAATTAACCACATTCCCAATTGAAGATCAGAAAGTGTGGAAAGGTGCAATGACTAAAGAGTTAAATTTTTTACAGAATCTGAAAGTATATGAA